CACATATACATACACACACTTACATACATACACAGATATATACACATACATACATACATACATACATACATACATACATACATACACACATACACACATACATACATACATACACACATACACACATACACACATACATACATACATACATACATACATACATACATACATACATACATACATACATACATACATACATACATACATACATACATACATACATACATACATACATACATACATACATACATACATATATATATATATATATATATATATATATATATATAAAATTTTATTTATTTATTTGTTTTATAAATGACAACAAATTTAAAATTTATTGACGTTCTTTGTAGAAATGTTGATATTCAATATATTGTGAAAATAAACATGCACAATATTTGGTATCAAGGGCACTTTATAATACTGTAAATTATTATTTATTTTTTAGAGTGCTTTAAGAATATTCAGGTTGCTGTATTGAAAGTGCACCAAATACTTGGGGACTTACTGTTATAGACCTTTTGTTTGTTAACTCTGTACAGTAAAACTCCATTGTACATGCTTTGATTAGTAACTATACAGATATGTATTACTTGATCATGATTCATTTTATTGTTATTTCTATGTTTGTTTGAGTGTTGATCTTTGTTGGCTATTGCTATTGACCAAATTGCCCCTTGGAGACAATAAAGAAGTTCCAATGCAATTTGTTAAAATCAATGTTGTTTTATTAAATGGAAACATAACTAAAACAGTTCTGTTTATTTACTATAATAACTTTTATATGACTATTTCTCAGTTTAGATTTTAATTTTATTGTAGTGCTACCTATACTGTCCTTTTCCCTCTTTTTGCAATTTCAATAGTTTAAATACTTTATTTACTCTGAACATGTATATACACAATAAATCAATATGCCATGTATTTTTTCATGTAATTTTTTAAGTCAATAATACTATAATAAAATCTTTAGCAATTAATTGTAACAAGAAAATCTGATATTGGCAGAAGTAAATTTCCCTGATTTTGTCAAAAGGTAAATTTCCTGACGTTTCATATTTGAAAAAAAGCTTTTAAATATTCCATCCAACACTGCTCTATAAACTTACATTTAACCAAGAATGAAGCTTCAAGAGCAAAGATTTCTGGGAGAAAAAGGTGGCCCACAAAAGCAAACACTGCAACTTCACCACAATTTAAAGGCCCCTGATAGCCGGCTGCACGACAGTGGCATAACACAAGCTATCCCGATTCATAGGCTTCTTCAAATGCAGCCTCAAAAGGAATCCACTATAGACGGATGCATTAAGGCTGTGACTATCCCAGCATTCACTGCATGAAGTAAAACAGGATGATCTTAGAGAAAATCCTAGATCTTACTTTGATAGACAAGTTATGCACTTCAGCTTAATTTGATGCTAAGACTGTCAGAGCTCTGCCACCAAAACAAGAATTAACAAGACCAGAGTGGCAGAACCCTGACAAAGACTCATAGCTGGTTTCCTTTACCCTATGTTAATGCACTTTTTTGGAAAAGTTGTTTGGGGGGGGTGGTGGTTCGTACAAAATGACAATGTTCGTCAAACAGACAAGGGTTTAGAATTGGCATGGATGGAGGGGACGTGTCCCCAATGATATCCACAGATTATTAAAATGTTCCCAAAAATAATTGATTCACCTCCAAAATAAAATAATGCCTTGTTGTAATTTTTCAGTCAGCAAAGAAATTTCCAGACACGGCATAAGAAGCTACATTTCAAAGAAAAGTGTCAGTCACTTGAAGTCAAGTTCGCTACAAGTTCACCATAATAGTAACCATGGATGTGCAATTAATAAAAATTTTTTTCAGATTTTGGCCTAGATGAAAATTACGAAAAAACAACAATCGAGATAAAATAGTTCTTGTGTCATATGCCTCTCCCTTTCCAGAAGTCTGCATTCATTCCTTGTCAAAGTAAAATCATGTAAATTTACTTCTATATGATGTTGTTTTTTTTAATGATCATATTTTATTTATTTGAATATTTTAGGTGCGAAATAGAACATGATGTGTGTTCTGTTTGCATGCACAGAGAAGAAAAAGAACATGGACATGTAAAGTCTTTTTAGCTAAAAGAGCATAAATGTAAATATTATACTTGCAAAAATGTGTTCTGATGTGATGGTAGGTGAATATGCACAAATAAGCCCTCAGTAAATGGAAGTCTTTATTACCCTACTCTTTTGTCAGACATTCCTTTACATTTTAAATGTGAAGTTACATTTAGATTGTACAATGTTGTCTCAAATTCAGTTCCCACCAATATCAAAAGAAAATCTACGCCCTTGCAAACTGACAAACTTGATATAAGCTAAAGCACTTTTGAGAGATTTTAAGCAGCTTTATGTCAGATATGGAAATCTACTACACGCTGATGTCCTGCAAGCAGTCCTTTATAAGGTACACCTGTCCAACTGCACGGTAATGCACATGGCAGCAACTCAATGCATTTAGGCATGTAGACATGGTCAAGACGATCTGCTGCAGTTCAAACCGAGCATCAGAATAGGAAAGAGAGGTGATTTAAGTGACTTTGAATATAGGGATATTGGTGCCAGCCGCGCTTGGTCTGAGTATTTCAGAAACTGATGATCTACTGGGATTTTCACGCACAACCATCTCTACGATTTACAGCATGGATCCATCCTGCCTTGTATTAACAGTTAAGGCTGTTGTTGGTGGTGTAATGGTGTGGGGGATATTTTCTTGGCACACTTTGGGCTCATTAGTACCAATTGAGCATCGAGTCAACACCACAGTCTACCGGAGTATTGTTGCTGACCATGTCCATCA